AAAATTTTTCGTTTTTGCCTCTTCATAACATTGTCTAGTTTTTTCAGTCATCTAGTAAAAATTACGGTCGTCATCCAAGCATTCTTGTTGGCACCCTTTTCTGTATCATTCATGTTGGCAAATTCCGCCCTTTTTTAAAATACACAAGAAAAAATAAAAAATTAAATAAACGTGAACAAAATCTAAAAACCGACGTATAACCGATTCTGTGCGTCGTATAAACGATATATTTTTGCATTAAAATGAATAGGAATGATTTGGGACCACACTAAAACGTCGTATGAATGTAAACGTCGTATAAGTGATCGTCGTATAAACGATGCTCCACTGTATTGAAATATAAGGAAAATTCAACAATAAACAAAAAAAAGTCAAAAGCAACTGAGAAAATATTCGTTGTTAGAGCGAAAATATTCTCTCTTTCTTCTTTGCGAAAGTATTTTCTTAGTGTATTTTTGACTTCTATTTTTTGTGTATCATTGAAGTTTCACCTTTATTTCAATATTTGATTTTTTGAGGTATTGCATTTTCTTATTTAGTTTTTCCACTTTAGAACCTCGGAGCACAGTCAGTTTTTGGTTTAACCTCTGACTGCAGAAAGGCTCCAGTGTGTCAGCAGACCGTGTTTCTCCTGATGAAGTGCTGTTTTTTCTAACATACATTTCTGTAGAATTTTCATTTTTGCTTGCTTTTGGTTTCTAATTTTTTATTTAAATTGTTTACATAAGGTAAAATTGGTTTTAGCGCTTTTCCAATTTGACTTATTGTTTTAAAGTTATTTTTCTTAATATTTGCTTAAATCAATTTAATACTTTGATTAGATCTAATGATTCAGATTTTAATGTATTCTGATTCAGATTTAATGGTTTACAAGCAGAGTTCGTTGATTTAAATCACAATTTAAATCTTGATTTAAATCAAATAATTTTTTTTTAAAAGTCATTGATTTAAATCAACTGATTTATATCAATTTTGAAATTTATATATATGTTGATTTTAAAAGTTAAAAAACAGAGTTTTCAATTATTGATACTTTTATTATTTTCTTTTCTTAGTTTTAAAATTTATTTTAAATAAATTGCTGTGTTAATTAATTTTAGTTATTACTTTCTTTCTTGGTGTGTGTTAAATTCCAACACATTTGAAATTACATTTTTAAAAATCTTTTGATTCTTGAGATTGAAAATACAGATTAAAGTACACATTTAATGCTGTCTTATAGCTGTAGAAAGTAAAAAGTAATAGTAGCTGTAGAAAGTAATTAATAGACATGAATTTCGAAAGAAAAAAAATGCAAATAATCTCAATTCTAACTTTTGATTGAAACAGCATGGAATTAAAATCTACATTATATTTCATTGGTGGAAAATGTATATTTCTAAAACTTGAGGTTATGTTAAAAAGAAATTACCCTAATATGCCAAAAATAGAAAAAAAAGGCTAATGAATTCAGATATTTTTTCCTGATATAATGTCATTCTTCTCTTTCAAAGTCTTTGAGGCAGTAGAGTTATAAACTGGTAACTGGTATTTTTTTTCTCATAATATGTTTATAGTATCTTTGACATTATCAGATTTTCTATTAAGAAATTTTTGCTAAAAAAATTCCAATGAGTGCATAGATGTTTTTAAAAATTTTTTTTAGCTGATCTATTTTTATATAGAATTAAAAATGAATATTTTAATATAAAAATATATAGATTAAATATTTTTTGTATGAATGACTTCATTTATAAACACAATATGTTACATTTATTTTGTCATATTAAAAATCAAGAGAAAGAAAAAACACAATTTTAAATTAAAATTATGGTTTGCTAATAGAAACTTTAATTTAATAGTTAAAGAGTCTGTCTAAGTCGAATTTGCTACTGCTTAAGGTACCTTCACAAATTCAACTTTGGAAATGAACAAAGGAAAAACAATAATTTCACAAAATACTTTTCTTTTTAAATTTTATTTTTGTGTTTTGTAAGAAACTAATAAAATCCATATTTTTGTGTTGATTTTTTAATAATATTTTTAATTTTCACAAATTATGTCTAAGTTTTCACAAAATAAATACCTCCCAGAAAAACCTAGGCAGACCACTTTCATTAAATTCTCTATTTCATCTAGTCTTCAAATTTCAATTATGCACTTGTTTCAAAATGGTTGCTATATATTCAAAGCTATGTATTGTAATGAAAAATTATATTAGTCAGTTAGAGCTTCTAAAATATTCTTATAATATTGTTTTAATATTAATTTAATTTTGATTAAACATTTATAAAGTATTTTTAATCATAAATTAAAGTTCTTACAATGTGTTAGTATAAAAAAAAAAAATCTGATTTAAATAAAAAAAATGCAATTTAAATCAAAAAAATCATGAACCCTGTTTACAAGATGACTTCATATATGCCAATCAATTAGTGCAAACAATATTTTAAGTTATAAAATCAATAGTTTGGTCCAGAGAGCATTCCAAAGTTTGAACCTCTTGATGTTAATATTTTACTTTTTGAGTATTTTTTCCATATCTCCAGAACTTTTTAAGTGAATCAAAAATAATTGCACGCAGTGATAAAATTCGCTTATCCAAAAGAAAAATTCTGTGCAAAAATTTTTGAATTGTATACAATCTTTTACAGCATTTTAAAGAATCTAATTTTTATATTACAAGTGACTAAATTTTAATGAAATCGGTCGAATAGTATTTTTAATCTACAACTTTTAAGGAATTTTATTACTCTGAAGCTATTTGGCCGATTACGCACCAATTTTGAATTTTTTTTATTAAAAATTGCATTTTTTGAAATCATGTATAAATTTGTATACAGTACAAGTTTTTTTTACTAATATTAAATAATGTTTTTTCTTGCTTTTTTCTTAGAATCCTAGTAAGCCTCATTTCAATCACTATTTATTTGAGACATTGAGTCTGACAGTGCGCATAGTTTGCAGAAATAATCGCCAGGCTGTCCTCCAGTTTGAACAAGCCCTCTTCCCTGTCTTCGAAAGTATTTTGCAGCAAGACATTCAGGGTAATCACTTTTTATTCATATGCACTAATATTGTTTTAAGCGAGAGGAATAATTTACATAAAATGATAAAAGCACATTATTTTCTTCTTTTTTTTTAAAAAAAGAAAGAAAATTTTGTTACGGGTGTGTGGAAAGTATTTTGCAACTAGATATTCAGGGTAATCACTCCTTATATGTATGGGCAGATATTGTTTTAAACGGGAGGAATCATTTACATAAAANGACCACTTTCATTAAATTCTCTATTTCATCTAGTCTTCAAATTTCAATTATGCATTTGTTTCAAAATGGTTGCTATATATTCAAAACTATGTATTGTAATGAAAAATTATATTAGTCTGTTAGAGCTTCTGAAATATTCTTATAATATTGTTTTAATATTAATTTAATTTTGATTAAACATTTATAAAGTATTTTTAATCATAAATTAAAGTTCTTACAATGTGTTTGAATAAAAAAAAAAAAAATTCTGATTTTTTTGATTTTTTTAAAAAAAAATATCAAAAAAATCACGAACCCTGTTTACAAGATGACTTCATATATGCCAATCAATTAGTGCAAACAATATTTTAAGTTATAAAATCAATAGTTTGGTCCAGAGAGCATTCCAAAGTTTGGACCTCTTGATGTTAATATTTTACTTTTTGAGTATTTTTTTCATATCTCCAGAACTTTTTAAGTGAATCAAAAATAATTGCACGCAGTGATAAAATTCGCTTATCCAAAAGAAAAATTCTGTGCAAAAAATTTTGAATTGTATACAATCTTTTACAGCATTTTAAGGAATCTAATTTTGTATTACAAGTGACTAAATTTTAATGAAATCGGTCGAATAGTATTTTTAATCTACAACTTTTAAGGAATTTTATTACTCTGAAGCTATTTGGCCGATTACGCACCAATTTTGAATTTTTTTTATTAAAAATTGCATTTTTTGAAATCATGTATAAATTTGTATACAGTACAAGTTTTTTTTACTAATATTAAATAATGTTTTTTCTTGCTTTTTTCTTAGAATCCTAGTAAGCCTCATTTCAATCACTATTTATTTGAGACATTGAGTCTGACAGTGCGCATAGTTTGCAGAAATAATCGCCAGGCTGTCCTCCAGTTTGAACAAGCCCTCTTCCCTGTCTTCGAAAGTATTTTGCAGCAAGACATTCAGGGTAATCACTTTTTATTCATATGCACTAATATTGTTTTAAGCGAGAGGAATAATTTACATAAAATGATAAAAGCACATTATTTTCTTCTTTTTTTTTAAAAAAAGAAAGAAAATTTTGTTACGGGTGTGTGGAAAGTATTTTGCAACTAGATATTCAGGGTAATCACTCCTTATATGTATGGGCAGATATTGTTTTAAACGGGAGGAATCATTTACATAAAATAATATAAGCACATTTTTTTTTCTTTTTTAAAGAAAATAGAAAATAAGTTTGGTTAAGGTAGTTTCAGATTCATCTTCCCTCAATTCTTACAGTTATGTCCAAATCCTTGAAGAAGATTGACAGGGTTTAAAAAGTACTTAAGTAAAACCTTTTAAAAATTATTCATTAAAACTTGAAAACAAAGCTTTATTAAATATGTTTTGAATTATAAATAAGAAGCAAAAATGTTAGGTGATTTATTAAATAAAGAAAGATTTGCTATCCATTATAATTCTCCATAGCTTAACATAATCCCTCACAACTCCCAGAAAACAGTTTATTACTTTCCTAATAAGGCTATTTATTTAGTTATTTTTAATCAAAAAACGCTTACTTTTGTTTGCACCTGAAACGGGGAGTCACGTGATTATTCACGAACTGACATCACACGTGTCCATCTGCCATTCACTTACAATCGCTGTGCTGTGAAACCCAATACGTCCTTCTTTCGTTTGAATTTTCGTAATTAAATCCAACTATTTTAGATGGTCAATAACTATCTGTATAAAAAAATTTTGCCCTAATATAGCTTAATAAAAATGTAGGTTTAATATAACGCATTTTTATAATGTTAAGTTTCAATGGTACCCCACTGAACATTGTTAATAGTTGACGAAATTTTCTAGCTCTGAATATTTAAAATTTTTTAGTTCAATAAAAAAAAGTGTGTACTATTGCTTATTAAATGATGCGTTATACATACAATTCAAAATATGCAATTGTCTTCAGCATAGCCTTTTAAAAAACTTGTGATCCCAGCCAAACTTTAAATTCATTCTTTCAACAAAAAAAATTTAAAGTTAAAAGAAAAAAAAAGTTATATGTTCCAGTAGATTTTATTAACTTTATTTTAATTGTCTTGATCTATGCTCTAAGAGTATTTGAAATCAAGCATATGGATTTACTTAGTTCTTTATTACTGAAACAGAAATTAAATTTTTTAAATGCATATAAAAATAATTTTTCGCCATAGCAAAATTTCCTATTTACTCAAAGAATAAAAATTTTGAGAAAAAATATCAGCATTATTGTTTATTTTTTAATTATTTAATAAATAATAAAGAATGTGCATTAGAATTTCTTTCCATTTTGGATAAGTTAATTTTTTATTATTGTTCTTTAGCTTAAGTGAAACAGTTTAATGATGTAGTTTAATGATATTCGCTGAAATTTTGTAGATAAATGAATTATTTAGATGTGAATAAATGAGAAATTAAGTGAAATTTTAAGTATCTATAGATTATGGTGATGATGATGGTCAGATATATTTCAATGAACTAGATTCTTGAAAGTGTTGATACGTTTTCGGCTATACCAAATACTTAACCTGAGATTTTTTTCAACTATTTTAATTAAATTTTTTTAATTAAAATGTATAATGTATTCATTTTACTATTTTAGAATTCTTCATTGCAAGCACTGACAAATAGTTTGCAAAAATACGGAGAGAAATGAACAATAACCATACTTTGTTAAAACTATATTACAGGAAAAGGAATTAAAATTTATAAATTTTAAAAAAAAAATTTCTAACTGTAGGAAAATTCTTATTTACGTAAGGAATAATTAATAGAAGCGTTAATGTGTATTTAAATATTTAATGCATAGTAAAAAATAAAAAAGATGACATAAACTGCATTAGTAAATATTTACTTAAAAAGGAAATCCTTCAACTCTAGTAATAAATTAAAAAGCAACATTAAATTACATAATTTGATTTCTTGAACATTAGCACTTAGATTGTAACGATGATGGACTGATATTTTTCATTGGACTAGATTTATGAAAATACAGACTTGTTTTAATGCAATAATGAATTATAAAATCATCCATCTAAATGTATGCTATTTCTATCCAACTTATTTTAATTAAGTAATTAGGCTGTAATGAAGCATTATTTTAATTTAAAAGTAAGTGGAATAAAATATTATTTTCTATGAACCACTGATTTCAGCCGAAAAGAAATGCAGATTTGCTGTAATGAGCTGCGTACTCATTTCTTCAGATATTTTAATAATGCTACCACCTAAGGTCTTTTATTGAACAGCAAATATAAAATAATTAAACTATTTTTTTGTTCAAATAGACAGGGTATCCGTGCACCTAGAAAGTCATGAAAAATCATGGAAAGTCATGAATTTAAGTATTGAACAAAATTTGTCATGAAATGTCTACTTACTAGTTTTTAAAAAAAATCATGGAAAGTCATGGATTTAGGTCTCCGAAAAATCTAATTTTTAAAATGGAATCTCCTTCCCCCCAATTTCATCCTGTTCCAAATATCTGAATTTCTAACAAAATCACCACTCAGTCATATTTTATTAGAATATAAAATGATTTTATCATGTTTTTAAAAATTATGGTGTTCTTTCAAAAAATGAAAGAAAAAATATCATTTCTAGAGCGAATTATCCTTTAAACTCTCTTCTGTGATTTAAGAATTTTTTTATTATTTTTTTTTTAATTTTATCAATTTTAAATTCTAGTTGAAGCAGACCAGTTATTGGCGAATTTTTTTTTATTCCGAAATGAGAAGAAAAAANATATAAATTTTATGTATTAATTAAATTTCACATATGAATATAGGTTTTTGACATTTTCGACATTTTTGACAGTGGGGTTTTTGACGTGACGGTTTAAACCATGGTTTAAACTGTCAAAAACTGTCACATGTCAAAAACCTGCCAACCCTGCCTACAGCATTTATTGTTTAAACTTGTTTGGAAATTCAATCAGTCTTTGAAAAATAAACTTAATACACAATTTTACTCTACCAAATTGTATGATGATGAATTTAGGGGTCACATACTTATTTAATATATGGAAAAAAATCTTGTTGGGTGGGTTTTTGTTGTTTCTCAATCATTGATTCTCCTCTATTCTTGTGATTTTAAAAATGATAGATTTCAATCAACAATACAGTAATCATATAGAATTTTTTAATGATGAATTGGGGGATCATCTACTAAAATTACTGTTGTAAAAAAATATTAAGTGGCGCATATTATCAGTGTTTTCATTTTGAGATTGAATCCCTACCTGAAAATTAATTAAGTAAATCTTGAACTCAATTATAAATTTTAGTTTATGTTATTTTCATGAAATACTAACTAACTTACATTGGTGGTTTATTTTTCAATGTGACGGTACCCGAGTAGCATTCTTGACCAATTTCAATTTGCTCTGCTTTTGTTCTTTCATTTTGATCACAACTTTTTGAATCACTTTGTATGTGCTACAGTAATTTGAGCCTTGTCACCAAAAAACTGTAAATAGTGTGTGCGATGTCTGTATGAATAGTGAAAAACACGAAATTGATGCTACAGTTAGTTTTTTTCATTCTGAAAATTGCAAAATCCACCTTTTGAGTCTAAGATGCAGTTAAAACTGCATTAGTAGCTAAAAAGCGATTTCTTAACTAAACTCTGGAGATTGTATTTAAGTTTTTCAGGACCTTCTAAACTTTATTATTATTCATCTTTTGTAAATTCAAAGAAGTGACATTTATATTTTATTTTTATGTTATTACATATCTGCCAACTCTACTGGATTTTGCCTGTTTCTCCTAATCTAATGATTTAATTAAAATTCTCTGAAATTGAGTAATTTTCCTAAAAAAATCCTTATTGAAATACAATTTTTGTACAAATTATTGCTTGGATATTTAAATAAATATTACTAATACATAATGAAGCAAACCTCATTTATAGAAATCAGCTTAAAATTTTTTTTGTTCTAAAATCTTCAGTTTAGTCAGAACTCTCTTCAAATTAATTAAATGAATCTGAATTAATTAAATAACTATCTTTTATGAATAAATACCTACTAATATTTGAAATTGTGAGTAAACCTAATACATAACATTTCAAGTATGTTTGATGTCAATCATGACTGAAAAATATTGCTGATTTTCTATTTTTATAACTAAAAATCCCTAAATTTTTCTAGATGTAATATATTTAGTAAATTATGCAGAAATTATCATGAAATTTATATGTACTTACAATCTACTGGATATTTTCCTATCCATGTTGGCAGCTATGATAATTTTATTTTATTTATAATTTTATTTCAAAGTATCACATTGTTTTCACTCAATATACAAAATATTTTTAGCATTGTATGAAATACTTTTTTGCTGTGAAGAATTTAAATGTAATGCGATTAATTTATATTTGATACCTTCTAGAGTGGTGTCCTTGGAGTTTTCCAAAAACTAATTGCTTCGAAAACCAATGACCATGAAGGATTTTATATACTCCAAAGAATAATTGATAAAGTTCCTCCGTAAGTTCATCTTATTATATTAGTAGAACTTGTTTAACTTTTCTGAAAGTATAGAACAAAACTTAAGTGCACATTTTTAAATACATTGTTTTTTTCTTTCTTTCTTATGTAAGAAAGCATGCGTCAAAAAATTAAGTGTATAAATCCAAAAGAAAATCTAAAATATTAGGGTAGTATCAATTTCATTCTGGTAAAAAATATTTCCTTCCTCTCTTTAAATTTTGTAAATGTTACTTTTGGGCAGAAAGTAAGTTTTTATTTATCTTCTATGTAAAAAAGCAAAGAAAAAGAACAGTAAGTAATAAAAAAAATAATTAAAAAAAACTACTCATAGAGAAAAATAATTTCAAACTTCTACCAGCAATCAAATGTCTGATAGTTGATTATAAAAAAATAATTATAGAAATAGCTCAAGAATCTAAAATACTTGTCCATTAACAATGTTATTTTTTTAAAATTTTTTTATTTTATAACGAAATTTTTACTTAGAGAGAACAAAATAGAAAACTATTTAAAGTCGGGTGATTGTGCTCCGGCAAAAATCGGGATTTCTGGATTTTTCGCTAATTGCGATTTGAAAGTTTCCGGAAATCCAAAGTACAGAAGTTTCAAGAAATCATCGATCACATTTATATTTTATTTAAAAATATTATAGCTAGTATTTATACATGGCATCTCTTTCATTTGTAAATATTTTTTCTAGTCGAATAATAAATGTGATTAGAGGTAAAAGTAAACTTACACATAACTATTCATTTAAATTATTCTGCATATAATTCTTTTAGAATATCATGTTTTGAAAATGTCAATGGTTTAAATTTATAAAGATATTAATTTTTTGAATGATTTTACTCAAGAAATTTTCAGGATTTTTGAGTTGGGCCCACAATTACCCCTGTAAAGTGTAACTTTCAAATTGTATAAAGTAGGATCAATAATTTATTTTCTTACAAATACTTTTATATTTATTTTGGTCTAACCATTTTCTTTGCAGACAAACTCTAAATGAATATTTGAAACACATATTTGTTCTTTTATTTCATCGACTTCAGAGCTCTAAGACTACAAAATATATTAAAGGTAAGTATCTGTTAATTATGTATGAGTTTTCTTTCGGCAGATGTGACTGTTTTGCACATTATATTCATTTATATTCTTTTTTAGGATTATTAGTATTTTTCTTCTTGTTTTCCTACAAACTTGGCCCTCAAAATCTTATTCAACTTATTGATGGTATTCAACCAAAGTAAGTGACTAACTCTTTATCCCAGGAGCATTTAAAATAAAGTCTAAACCAAGTTTTTAAGTGTTAATTACAGAATGTATCTAATAAATTTCCTTTTTACTTCGTTTCACTCAATATTTGATGATTTTTTTCATTCTTTATGTATTTTATTTAATCTTCGCAATAAAAACAATGAAAAGTAATGAACTTGAGCAAAAATTTGACTGATGAGGCTAGTTTATAATCATATTGACTGCTGTGCGATTTAAAAAAAACAGAATTGTTTCATGGTAAATTTTAAGAAAAGTGGCTTATATAACTGATTTTCTTCCATTGCAAATGCTATAAACAGCTTACTGTTTTTGAACCTTTCTTTTTCTGCTTTTGTTGCTTAAAAAACTGTTTTAAGATTTAGCATTCATAAAATCTCTTATAATTTGCTAAATATAAATGCCCTTATGGTAGAAATATCTTAAACTGAATCTTAAATCTTATTTTGAGCCGTAATGTGTTTGTTTTAATTTAAATCATTTTAAATAATATACACTTTCTTCAGTTAAAAGATTTAATTTGCATTTATGTTGCTCAATAAAGTATTTATTTTTTTACTTTAATGAAAGAACATTTCAGTTAATTTATCGTAAAATGCACTTTTGTTTTACATGCAAATGTATTACTAAAGTTAAATGAAGAGAAAAAAAAGAATTACAAAAAATTAAAATAATAAAAAAAGATTTATAAATATTTAAAAGAATTTTATTTAGAGCAAATATATTACTAGTTGTCTGATAAAAAAGAAATGTGGCTGAAACAGTGATGTTTTCAAAAGCATTATAAATGCCACCAACAGGTCTGAATGCAGCCCAACTATAAGGTTGTGCTCCTCAACTATATATTTTTTTCTTTAATAAGAAATTTTTTAATTCACTTAACTAATAAAAAGAACTCTTAGCTAAACTTTGAATTGATAAACTCTTAAGATTAATTTCATTTCAATGTGGTAAGTCGGTACGTGTATACAATTTAGTACTATTTTTAAATTTTGGACTTAACATAGCAATTATTAATTCCTTATCAATTAATATTAAAATAATTAAAATTATATGGATTATAATAAAATGAATGATTATGAATACCCGCATATCTCTTCATTGTGTTTGTTTTATATTATAATTTTTTTAAAAAAAAGTTCAAGATAGCTGTGCTCCCTACAAGATTTAAAAATGCTCCCTAAGTCTATCTACGCCACTGTGTATATAAAAAAGTTAAAAACCAGTAAATAACATGCGACAGCTTTAGCATAATTTTTGATTAACAGCAAATATTATGCAAAAGCTATATTCTCATAAAAGATATAGAAGAACAATAGAAATTTTAGTTGCTGACCAGCACAAATCACTAAAATAGGATAAGTTTGTTACAATTTATTTCCTANAAAAAAAAAAAAAAAAAAAAAAAAAAAAAAAAAAAAAAAAAAATCATAAGTAAGTTGCAACAGATTTTCAGATTTTGTGATGAAAGTTTAAATCTTGATTGTGGCAACAACTGTTTTATCAGTTATTTTTTATAGAAAGTGAAATTGTTTTTTTAGATCTATTATTTTATTCAAAAATCACTTTTATTAACTTATACGCTAAATTTTACTATTAAACAGTGAATATTGTAAGCGAAATTGAATGAGATAATTTCATCAAAAAGTATTCTTCTTAAGAAATAATTCTGTAACATAAAATAATATGCTTTTTAAAATGCATAAACTTTAAAAATAAAGCCTTTAAGCATTTCATTAAATCCTAAGTTATATAAATGTTTTTGAAATTACAAGTATCACTTCTAATGATATTTAAAAATTGAAACAAAACATAGAAAGCAAAAAGAAAAAAAAGTTAAACTGAAGGAGGAAGCATGAAAAAAAAAATCTGCAGATGATAAATTTTCTACTTCATCCATCTGTAAATTATGCACATTTATAACTTTTTCTTCTTGATAGACAAGACAATGATATTTAATATGAGAAGGAAGTAATATTTTGAGGAGTCAAAGCTCTTAATTACAATTGATCCAGCACCTACCCCAAGAGAAGGCATCCATGTAATTTGAATCTCTTCTCCCATTAATACAAGAAAAGTTAGAAAAAAAAATAGTTTGGTTTAATTTTGCTTACAAGAGCAGAATTAACATGTGCCTCCCTTGTGTTGTGATGATAATGTATCCTGCTTTTATTGCAGGATGTTTGCCATGGTCATTGAACGGGTGATTATTCCTGATTTGCAAAAAGTGTCTGGAAATATTGAGAGGAAAATTTGTTCCGTCGGAATGATCAAGATATTGACCGAAGTACCCGAAATTACTGGAGGAAGCTACAGTCAATTTTGGTATGCCTTATCCTCACAATATATTTAGATTCTATAAGTAAAAAATAATTTAATGAGCATTAAAATGCAGTTTTATGATGCTTGTTATTATTGCTATAAATATTCACTTAAACTGTAGAGGTTTAAAATTTCTTTAATTTTGAATTTAAGAGTGTGTAGGATTCTTGGTTGTCCTGATATTTCTGATTCTAAACATTTTTTCCTGATTTTTTGCTTTCTGTCCTGATGTTCCTCAATTTTAATTCGTTTGTTCAGAACATACTATTTTGACAAACATGCGATTTTAAATGATTTGCTTGTATATATCTCTCACTATAAATGAAAAAAAGACAAACTTAATTCAAAAAGGGAAATCTGAAATGTGTTTCAAATGAAAAGCGTAAGCTATGTAACGCAATTGTGGGTTAGTTCCATCTCAAAGTCCACAAAGACAAATTTCTTCCAATACTTGATTTATGAGTTCCCTTGTCTTCTGGATCAGATTCAAAATTACAAGGATACTTTGTTAAACATTAGTAGTCATAAACCCAAAAATTGGGTTGGCTGTTCAACGATGGTTATATAAAATAAAATAAAAGTGGCATATGTAACAACACAATTTACGTATTTCCCCATATCTCAAGAACATTTTTAAACAAATCAAAGTTTTGCACCTAATTATAAAGTTCCTTTATAATTAAAAAATAACTTTTTGTAAAAAAATTTTATTGTTATTTTAAGTAGTTGAAAAAATTTTGAATTGTAAGGTATAAAATTTTTATAGCATTTTAAAGAATGTAATTTTGATGGCAAAATACAAAATTTGAGTATCTGAGAAGTAGAAATTTATTTTGTTGGGAAGTTTAAAATAGCAGCACTATCTTTATAGCAATAATTTTTGCTTCTATTTAACTCGATCCTTAGATTTTAATAGATACTGAAAAAAGACCAAATTAGGTACACAAGATAGATCTAAAAAGAAATTGGAGTCGATTAAAAAAATTCCTGCCTAACTCAACGCTTAACAAAATTTTTAGCTACCTTCTCAATCAGCCTCTTCATAAATATTAATATTTTTTTTTAGTTTTACTAATTTTATGCTGCAATTGATACTGTATTCATATATGCAATTGATACTGTATTCATATATTTGTTTTGTTTAAAAGTATTTTTTAAATCTTTCACAATAAAGCTTGAAAATTATATCGTTTTTTTTGTAGATGCTTTTTCCCCCCCTTTAATATTTCTCTGATACTATGGAAAATTGAGTATTGATATTTTAAAATTTATTTTGTTGTCTCTAATCCTCCTAAGTCTGAGACCAGGTCTAAAAGACTTGAAGAAAATCAATGAGATTGTAAAATAAGCAAACTTATTTAATCCTTTTCATTATTTACATCTCGTACAGTATTTATTGAAAATAATTTGTCTTTTGAAAATTGTTTACTCTATGAGCGTTAGTCGACTGCACACTTTTCTCTGTCAATAAACCCGATAGCCTCAATGGAAAATTTTAATGCAATTTTCTCCAGGGGCTGAATACTTGAAGGATTAAATTTGCTAACATTTAAGAGTACTTTGATTATTCATTTAAAGTTGCTCGTTATCTTAGTGTTTCTGTACTTATAAGTTCATACATTATTACAGGGTTGCCACTCCACAAAGAGAATAGGGAAAACCTAGAAAATACAGGGAATTTTACCCATTTTAGGCCAATCATATAAACAGGGTATCAGCGCACCTGGAAAGTCATGAGAAATCGTGGAAAGTCATGGATTTAGGTCGCCGAAAAATCTAATTTTTAAAATGGAATTTACCACCCCCCCATTTCATGGTTAACAAAATCTATACAGTCATATTTAATTACAATATAAAATGTTTTCATTATGTTCTTTCAAAAAATGAAAGAAAAAAAATCATTTCTGGAGAAATATTATTTATTTTATCGATTTAAAATTCTAGCTGAAACAAGCCAGTAATTGGCAAATTTTTTTTAAAATTCCGAAATGAGAACAGGAAAATCAGGAGTATTTCTTTCCTTTCTGATGAACAAGAAAAGTATCTTTAGAATATAATTCTGCAGAAAAAAGTAAAATATAATTATTAGCTTTTTTTATTTTTTTCAGCTATTTTATTGCTTTAACTCTTTTTTTTTACCCTTTTTTTTAAATCTAAAATCTATAAATATGAAGATGCAGAGTATAACAGTTTTGGCCATACCTATCATTTCAATTAATGTTAATATAATGCTTTTTTAAATTTGTGTTTTTGTGGAGAAAATAGTAGCTTGCAGCTTTAATCCATCATCAAAACAAAATGATAAATCTCAAATGGAATAATTATAAATTTTCAAAAAATTTCATTTGTCAATAACTATTTTAAGTTTAAAAAAAAAAAAAAAAAAAACTTTAGTTTAAAAATTTCTTAACAGAAAGTGTTTACTGCAATTGAATTACTATTAATTTTTGGGTGTCTTAAAAACCCTTGGCAATAGCAAAAAAATAAAATTAGTGGAAAATATACGTCACAGTGTTAATAAATTTTTTTTATTTAAATGGTGCGTTTGCACACCTTTGGCCTAAAATGGGTTAAATATAAATTAAAATAACTGGGAAAATGCAGGGAATTTTTAGTTTTTCTTTACAAACGGAGAAAATAGAGGGAATTTTGTTTCTTATTTTTGTCTTTTAAAAAATGGTTACCTCTCAAAGCACAATTTATTGATATTTAAGGATGATATTTCAGCTATACTAAACTATTTCATTACTATGGCATTATTAAGTGTGTTCTGCTGTTCCTTTTTTTCACCTTAGTTTTCAATGCAATTAAAACTAGTTTAGTTTGTCCAATGTAGCTCACACAAGAGCACAGTAATTGCGTATTTCCTCTTAATATGTTGTGTATAATATATACATGGAATTTTGTCTCCCAGATTAGAGTAGCAACCCTGTCTGACATAATTCTAGTTTTTCATCAAATTATGTATTTTATAAAAAAGTAGCACCTTTGTTCTATATGTATTCTTTGTTCTATATAATATTTTTTAACAAAATTCCATAACCGGAATCTTGAATTGACCCCTGATGTTAACAAGTAAAATAAAAGTGAGCAAAGAAGAATTTTTTCTTAAACTTTATTAATCATCATCCTATTTAATAAGAATATTGTTTAATGTTCCAGGGCCCCATTGCTTCAGGCGTTAATTGGACTGTTTGAACTACCTGAAGATGACAGCATTGCAGAAGATGAGCATTTCATAGAGGTGGATGAAACTCCAGGCTACCAGAGTGCTTACTGTCAGCTCATGTTTGCAGGAAAATCTGAGCAGGACCCCATCAATGGAGCAATGCCTGATGCTAGAATACATCTAGCTCAATGTTTGCACAAACTCTCTATGAATCAACCTGGGAAGGTAAAATTTACAATTTCTTTTGTTTTCGAAAACAATTAGGTATTACAAATCTCTAATTTCATCCAGCAAAATTTTTATTTTACTTAAGAATGCTGCAATAAAAGTAATATTTACAGGGTATCTGCACATGTGGACAAATATTATATATTTCAATATTGAACAAAATGTGTCATGAAATGTCATGATTTTAACTATTTGTTTTAAAAAAAAACAGTGAAAGTCATGGATTTAGGTTTCCGAGAAATCTAATTTTTAAAAAGGAATGTCCCCCCCCCATCTAATTTAATCTTGTTTCGAATATCTGAATTTGTAACAAAATCTCCACTCACAGTCATATTTCAATAAAATATGAAATGATTTTATCCTGTTCTTTAAAAATTATGGTGTTCTATCCAAAAAAAAAAAAAAAAAAAAAAAAAAAAAAAAAAAAAAANAAAAAAAAAAAAAAAAAAACTTTATTTCTAGAACGAATTTTCTTTTAAACTTCCCTGATTTCAGAATTTTTATTTATTTATTTTTTCAATTTAAAATTCTAGCTGAAGCAAACCATTCATTGGCAATTTTTTTTAATTCCAAAATGAGAACAGAAATAATCAGGAGTATTTCTTTCCTCTCCCATGAACAAGAAAATTATCTTTAAAATATAATTCTGCAGAAAAAAAGAGAAGAAATTTTTTTTTTAACATTTGTATTTTTTTCACCTATTTTATTGCTTCAACTTCTTCTATACCCTATTTTCTAAATTTAAAATCTGTAAACAATTGTAACAATTTTGGCTATACTTATCATTTCAGTTAATGTTATTATAATACTTTTTTAAATTTATTGTTTTTTTGTCTGAGAAAATAGTAACTTTGTGAAGTTATGAAAAATTCTTGGAATTAGTCATGGGAAGTCATGTATTTGAAAATCTATGTAGCAGATACCCTGTATTTAGATAACATTTAAATAACTATTTTTAAATGTGAAATAAACATTTTAATAATTAAAATTATCAATATACACTTTCCTTTCTTTATTATTAGTCCAAAATTTCATAAAATTCCTATAAAATTCAGAACAATCGCATATGGGTCTAATACTTACCTAACTAAAACTGGCACCATTTTCTCTAATTACTTAAATAAAATTATTAACAATATTATTAAAGAAAGTTTTTCTTGGATTATCACTAATAATGAACTGATTTTAGAATTTATTAAACGAAATAAAATTAATTCCATTGTGAATTTTGATTTCCAGGATCTTTTCAACAGCATTCCCCTTTCTAAACTAAAAATATTCTTTTGAGTTATTACTATGATTACTATGGGTAATTAAATGTAAAATGAACATTTAAATGTGCCATGCCAAAATTATCAACATTTATTTTAAATGTATAGGTTCTAAATGTTTCAGTTTTGGCTCTTAATGTTTTTCTCACATGCTCTTAAAATATTCTGTTCATTTTTTATTCTTTTCACTATTTTAAATGAGAATAATTGATTTTTTGTGGCATTTAAATTTTTGATCACACCTTTACATTTTTACTCATTTCTTTGCAACATAACTTTATACCATGTTTTATTTTCTGTGTACTTATTAATTCTGTAAAGTAATAATTAACACATTTAATTATTTTGTTTAGTGAGGCTTTTACTGATTTAATACTTTTTTTTATTTTGGTTAATGTTCATTCCTTTCCTGTTTTCCATTAGGTATCTTGATTTTTGTAGTTTTGTTTTAATGAGTTATTTTTCAAACTACAAACATAAAAGTTCTTTCAGAATAAATAGTTGAATCGTTCCAATTTAATCAGCATATCATTCAACTTATTATTCAGGTTAAATCAACTTATTAGTTCACATTTTCTATTCTAAACAAAATTTAGAACACTCTAATAAAATGTTTTTTTTAATTTTTTTTTAAAGTTATGGAATAAAACTATCACTTAAAACAAAATCTCTCTGACTTAGTTTTTAATCTGTTGCACAATTTGAATTAAAAACTAAAAGTTTTTGTGCATGGTTTAATTGATTTGATAAAAAGCTTTTATATTGATTTGATAAAAAAAAAATTCTTATTTATCTTTACTTATTTTTACTTTGTCCTGGCTGTATAGCCATTCTTTAATAGAGTTTTGTTTGAATACGAAATTTATTAAAGATAGACATAATAAAAAAAAAGAAGAAAAATCATTTAATCATCTCTGAAGCACACCCAACATCACGAAAAAACGACACAATTAATGAAGCTAAAATACTTTTTATAATTATTATTTGTTGTCTATTTCGGTGGCTTTATGTTATTGAAATAAGCAAAACAGGTTATTTTGTAGTTCAACGTATCAAAATTAAGATTAACTGTATTCAACATCACTTTGCATGATGGTACTGCTTGAAGCCAACTCATGAATGTCAAAATTTGCCCCTATCAAGTAATTTTCTCTGGTACATATCCGTTTTGAGGGACATAATAGCTCATTTTAGTTCGTAGTTTATGATTTTTTTAATTTCAATTAATACACATTACCAATATTAATTGAGCTTCTTTCCCAATAATAGTGTGGAACTTTTTTACGGTTTTCTTAAACATATAAGTACCTTTACTCCATAAATTTTGCTTTTGAGTACATAGTTTCTTTATTTATTTCAATATACATCCATTACTTGAATTAATTGAGCACCACTGGCATCAATATGGTGATTTTTCATGTTTCTTCTTAACAAATTTGTACGACTTTAACTTTGTCTTTCCTATTTTTTTTTCATTTCAATTACCTTTGATTTTAAATTACTTTTATGTAAACATGTTTTCAAAGAATTATTATAAACAAAATGAACTAATTTAATGACATAGTCTTTCCATGCTATCATATTAATTTTGTTAATGAAATTTATCTGACTTAGCAAATTAAAAAAAACAACTAAATATTAAAATACTTGCAAAAAACATATTTTTTTGTTGATCAAATACAACTATAAGCTAGCAAATATCACTGATATTATCTTTAAAATATTTGGAAATATAAATAGTCTGTAGTTTAAAATAATGATTAATACTTACACAGTCAGTAAACTCCATTTTGTTTTTTGCTCACCTCGCTTAAACGTTTTGTAGCAGAATGTTCTAATCCCTGTGCTTTGACCTACCAGTATGCCAAATTCCATCGCTCTCAGTCGAATGGTTTTGGAGCTTATAAAGGACAGACATCAAATTAATGCTGAACATATAATCTAAAAATAAATTCGTGAGAAATTTATTTTATTAAACTGTGAACTGATACCAAACGACTCATTGTGCGCTTTTTATATTACTTATATGTATTTTTAATATTTAAATGTGAATTACTGTTTCAGTATCCGGCCTTGATATCTTCAAGCATTGCACCTGAAGCTGCTGCTCACCTGAGTAAATATCTGCAAGCTGCAAATGTCACATTGTCATAACAATTAGATATGTGAAAAGAACTCTGGCATTGTATATAAACCATTTGATGTTTTCTTTTGTAATTTTGATTGCAATTAAACTGTTATGATTGATGCTTTTGTTGGATGGATGTAAATTTATTTTAGATGAACATATTCATTTCATACATTTAGTGAAATAAATCTGTTTTAGAAGAACACACATTTTTGGGAATTTTTTTTTTTTGTACTGAAATAATTTTAAACATGCCAAATTTATACAACTTGATTTTATGTTGACTAACTAAATCTAAAATACATTCTAAAACCTGAACACCAATTTTAAAATGGATCATTTTCTTTGTCTATTTAAACTTGTTTTTTTTTCTTCCAATTATTGTTTTTTTTCTCTTTCAAACATTTGTTTTTTTTCTCTCCAATTATTTAAAGAAATTACTATCTTTCCATCAAATCTCAACTATAAATCGAACTTAAAAATTTTTTTTTTTTTTTTTTAAATTTTAGTTTGTCTAGTCAAGCTTTAAATAGAAAAAAAATAATCTGTCTAGTCAAGCCTTAAATAGAAAGAAAGAAACTAAGTATTTTTTTTTTCATTCTGGAGATAGTATAGATTGAATTTTCAGTTATAAAAATTCTTTCAAAAGTAAATTGAAATAAAGCACTCCTACTTTTGCCGTCGTATTCCTAACCACCGTTTGTAGAAAATTTAAGTATCTTATTGTCTTAAACATTTGAATGGAACTCCTAAACCCAAAAAAAGTGTGGCATAATTGGAAACAAAAAGGAAAAAGGTTAACTTGTTTCAAGTTATTTAAATTGTACATTACCATATATTTTTCATTTTTGAAAAGATTTATTAAAACTTTTATTCGTTGAAGAAAAGAAAAAAATAGTTATAAAGATAGTCTCAGTTAATATTCGAAATTTTACGGACCACATGAAATTAGCTAAAAGCAACTTTTGCACTCATTAAAGATTTTATTAGAAAAAGGTTTAATGATTTTTTAAAAAATTTATTTTTGGTGAACGAAATTCGAAAACCTTGTTTTTCATTTTGTTATATCAACAGTAGTTAAAACACTTGAGATTTTCACACAAAGGGGAACCAAGCCTTAAAATAAATCAAAACTATAACATTTGATGAAAATAAAATTTATTAGAACACTTTTAGATGATTATTTGAACTTGACTTTTAACGGCAAAATTCCAATGTCTAAGGGCCACCAATATTTTGTTTATATAAAGTGAACGATTATATAAAATTTGAACGTAGGTAAGAAATTCAAAAAAAAGAGAAAAAATGCTTATGTCGCTTTTTAGGCATGAAATTTGGAAATGGAAAAAGAAAATAAAAGTCACTATAAGCGTACTAAAAATGGATACTTTGTACTCTCATTTAGATTTCACCTTAATATGTAAAATTTCATGATTTTGATTCCAAAATAATAGAATTTACACTATTTCTGATAAAGACACAACGTCGTAAATAAATATTATTTAATTGCTCTAATATAGTTGATCATAAAGGGTACAGATTAGAGAATCAAATGATAATTTTAATCTATAAAGTAATAAGTGCAACTATAATGTACTGCCGTTAACTGCCTTCTCTCATTGGTTGAAATGAGCAACCAGAGCCTGACAAAGGCAGGGACGTAAGGGCAGCTGCCCCGGGCCCCCAAATCGAATAGAAAGTTTATGAACTTTTTTTAAACAAAATATATGTACAGTGTAAAATCAGTCAGTTTTATGTTAGCTTTTTCATTAATATATAGTATGAATGCAAAAAATCCATGACTCTCTAGAGCGGAATTCAGCTAAATGACGATGGACATATTCGGCCAATGAAAAGTCTGTATTTTTATCTATCGCAAAATGCGATATGTTCACAATAATACAGGCTTCTGATTGGCTTAAGTGAGCCATCGTAATTGTGAAAATTTAGCTGAATTCCGCCCTATTGTCAGCAAGGATATGAATTTTTCGCAGCTAGATGACAAAGTTAACAATTAGAAAACTACATTCGTTATGATGAACATAGAATTGTCAGAAAATCAATAAAATGCACAGAACTATACTTTGTCTGACCATCCGAGGGGGGGGGCACTTTATAGCTATTGTAGGTTCCAGTCAAATTTCTTGCTATAAATCTACAACGAGGCGAAAAATTTAAATACCTCCATAAAGGTCGTTACTGAAGTGATGAAGCAGGGAGGGGGGGGGTGAGATGTTTTTGCCCTGGGCCGCAATTAGGCTAAGTCGGGCCTTGTGAGCAACTATAATGTACTGGCCTTAACTACCAATTTTCATTGGTTCAAATAAGCAACCGTTATGGGCATTGTTTAGAAACTTTGATACTGACTCGTTTCAGTTGTTTGTAAAAAGTCAATTTGCCACAGAACCTACTTTAGGTACCTGAGATATAAATATATCGGGTACCAATTTACAGAATTCATCATCGATTTTGTCAATAACAGTTAGGTGGCCTTCGGAACAGATAAGTTCTGAAATTTTTCATGTGATCAGCAGGTTTTAAAATCTAATCCTCGTATAATTTTTATTAAAGAGTATCTCTAAATTGTAAACGATTTTTTATTTAGAAAGTAAAATAAAATGGGTTGATTAATTAACTGCATCAATTTTTAAAAAGTTCATTGGTCCCGTGTAAAATTATGTTCCAGAAATATAATTTGTATTCGGTTATAATACTATAAAAGACAATTATTAAGAAAAAGGAAAATGTTATTGATAATTCATAGCAAAAAGCAAACGATTTTAAAATCATGACAGCTGCCTCTTCTGCAGTCAGCTTTCTTTCTTTCTTTCTTTCTTTTTTTTTTTAAACTAATTTGCCGATATCTGAAGTGTGCCATTAAAATTTAAAACAGATGATTTTAACTTCCTAGAATAAACCTAGTCGCCCCTAAAAAATTACGCAAGATTCAAAATTTTTAACTTGCTTTGAAAACGTTCTATTCTATACTTTGAAACACTTTGCTCCGTAAAAGCTTTGTTCCAGAAATTTTATATTTATTTCCCGCCTTATTTCATACGTGGAAAATAGAATATTATGACCAGCTGCATTCATTATCAATTGCTCAAGTATGTAGAATTATTTATTCTCATTAATTTAGCACACATTTTAATTTAAATATTGTGAAGTTTTCTTTAAATGACTACAGTGTAATATTAGTTTCACTTGCAAGAAATCAGTACCGATAATGATTTTCATTTTCAGCAGGAAGCGATTCTTTTTTAAAATATAGCATTTGTTAGTTTCGGAAATTTGTTTTATTAATGTTAAATTTCTGAACGAGAAATCATTTGACTGGTTTTATAAGTTCAAAACATATTTATCATAATTTTAGTGGCATTATTATCGCCCTTCCAAATATTTTTTCCTTTAGTTTGAACTTGAAAAAAAAAAGTCACAACCGTTTCGAAAACTTTAAACCCATTATAGAGGCAGAGTTGGAAAATAGGCCCCCCCCCCCCCTCCTCGAGTAGTTTTCCGCAACTTTAACATTTTTTAATTGAAAAAGAAAAAAATAGCAGCAATGAGTTATTTATGCTTGTTTTATTTATAAAAGCTAAAGCTATAAAATGAATTATGTAATGTATTATCGTACTCACGAGTGATATCTTTACCATTTAATGTTATAAAATGATTGCTATTATTCAATTCTAGTGTCTAAGAATAAAATTTTTTGAATCAAGTATTAAGATCGATCAAAATAAGTTTAACAGAAAACTGATACTTGTTATTTTAATGCAACAGTAAATTACTTTATGAATATAATTTACTTACTAAAGAGTAAATACACACAAAAGAATGAGCGCATGTTAAGAAATCGTAATACATCATAATCAGGAAATAAAATCATCAAATTAAAAAAAAACTAAGAAATTAATTCATGACGAAAATAAATGGACATTTAAACGTACTTTCGTTTTCGCAATAAATAAGAAATGAAAAACAGTGCTGCCACTGCAATTCGCTGGACGAGTCAAAAAAATTTACTGCTCAATAATGCTGTTAAGTTTATATTTTAAATTTTTCAATTAGCAATCGGACCTATTAAGAAGAAAATTTCGACTGTAAAAATGTTAGGTTCTTATCTTTTATAAGATGACCAAAAAAAAAAACTCGAATTCTTGGCCAGAGATGGCGCGAAGAACAATCACACCCCTTTCTGAAATAGTCTATGACAGCAACAACAACTGAAAGAAAACAATAATCGTTGATTGACAGCAATTTAAAAATAGGGTGCAATATTCCTTTACAACTTCGTATTTTTATGTAATGAAAACGTTTAGTTAAAATTAGGAATTTTTTACTTTAAACAAAAAATGTACAAAATTAAAAGCATTGGAGAGAGGAAAAAAAGGTTGCTACTCAGACTTAGAGTGGCACCTTAGCCTCTTCTCTTAGGAAGAAAAAAAAAAAAATTATGTTCAACTCAGTAACCAATAACGTAAGAAGTAAAAGAAACCAAAATAACGCAGTTCTGCCACTCAGATCTTTTTAGGTTCAAAATAATAGTTAATTTATAACAGGGAATAAACTTACAATACAATAAATAAGCTTGCAATATTTTCTAAAATAGGGCACAACAGTATTAAACTTTTATTTCAGACATGTTTTGGAGTTCAACAAGTGCGTAGTTCGATTTACTGACTTGTGATGAGAAGATGCGTAAAATGACAAATAAAAAAAAAGAAAACGATTCTTTAAAATAAAAAAAAAGAAAAGGTAAGTTAAAAAATGAATAATTTATTTCCAATACTACTTATTCAACGATAATTCGATAGGACGGACGATGAAGAAGGAGTTTCGTTTTCTACACCAATTCTTTTTTCTTTTGAAACACTTTTAAGATTTCACTTTTTGTGTAAAAACGCATTCTAGTTTTGACATTGATCCGCCTTTCGTTAAAATTAGTCCTAATTTCCTTCTAGTGAAGGAAATTTTTAAAAAATCCAACTGATTATTTTGAAATCGTTTGCTTATCTGAACAGCAAATGCACTGAAATTTTGTTTATAATTTGTCAGTAGTAAGAATGCGCCGTAGTATTATTTTTTTCACCTGCAATAAATCTTTACTCACGTACGG